AAGATGAGGGAAGCGAGTCAGAAGAAGAAGACAATATACTTCTTAACTTAGACGACGAAGTAGCATAATCTTTCATTATAAGCATCAACTCAAGAGACTTACATCAAGAAATGCACCATGCTATAACAATGACTTCAATCGAAAGTGCAAAATCACAAGGGGCATTAAGTCAAGGAAACCAAGAAGAAAATCCTCAAAATGACGATGAGATAGTCTGTACCCTTCAGCATAGGTTTGGATTACTGTCTGATTCTTGCAAAGTAGAAGAATAATTAAAGTTGAAGTGCTCCCAGATACGAGCCTAAACTATCGATGATACTCCCTGGTACAAGTATAAACTGTCAACTTGAAGAAAAAAAAATTGACACTCCTTAGCATGAGTATAAACTGTCTACTTTAAAAACAAATCAAGAACTCCTTGACACGAGTTTAAACTGTCTACTTGAAAAAAAATCAACATACATAAGGCTTCTTAATAATAATTTTAACAAGATTAGCATTAAGATCTTCTTCCTTAACCACATCGGTTGAAAAAACTTCATAATTGGGATCCCTATAGTACGTACCTTTCGAGGAATTCTTTCATTCATTTTGCTCCTTGAGGACTAACTCATACCCGGTAGCTTTCTCAGCCAGGTCATACATGTCACGAAATGGGACTCCTTCAAACCTCTTCCGGAGTTCAAAATCAAGGCCGTTCAACGCTAGACGGATATACTACTGTTCTGGAAGAGATACACGACATCTTAATCTTACCTTCCTAAACCTTGCAATGAATGTCTCGACCGATTCACTAGGCAATTGGCTCAGCCTGGATAAATCGGCCAGAGTTGGTTCTGTCTCCGTTCGGTAGAACTGATTATGAAATAACTCCTCTATCTGTGGCCAATTAAAAACAGAGTTAGGAGGTAAACGAATATACCATGAAAAAGCTGTCCTTGTCAATGAGTTAGGAAAAAGTCTTAATTTTAACGAAGGGCTCACACTGGCCTCTCCACATTGAACTATGAAACGGCCAATGTGTTCCATGGTCGATTGACTCCCTTCGCTACTAAAGGTTACAAAGTTAGGGACTTTATATCCTCTAGGAAACTCAACTTGGTCTACCACTTTTGGATATGGAGTTCTATAAATTGGTCGGCCAGCACCTCTAAATTCTAGGCCGTACTCTTGGGTAAGTAAATCAGCTAATTGTCTTCTATCTAACATAACCTGTGGTGGCTGATTTACTATTAGTGGTACCTAATTATAAACTGGTTGATAGTAATTCAGTTCTTTTATGCCTTATTTATAGCAAGGACTTTTTATCTAGGTGCTAAAAGAAGTAAAAATGCGATGAAAAGTAAAGTAATTTAAATGAACTGGCTGAATTTAAATTGACTTTAAAATAAAGATGGCTGAAATGAAATTGACTGAAAAGTAATGGTGCAATGAAATAGAACAGGCCGAATTAAATTGACATAAATCTGATCAAAGATTTGTTATTTGAATTCGTTGCATAAAACAAAGATTAAATTTATAAATAGTATAATTAAGCATTGCAAAAGAAGAATAAGTTTCTGACTTAGTTTCTTCGAATGAAATTTGCCATTTGGACAAATGAATTGAAGATAAAGATGACGTTGGGTCATTTGATGAATTTTTGATTCATGCTGATTTGTGAGTGGTGCTGGACAAATTGAAATGAATTACAATACTTCTACTTATAGAAGTTTTATTTCAACCAATCTACCTTTATTTCTTGCTAAAATATCTCTCTACCCTTGATTCTTCCCTTTCGTAATTCAAACCGAGTCAAACCCACTGTACTTTGCCTTCAATATCGATGCTTTCACTTTCCTCAGCTGAATACCCTTCTCTATTATCTACGAATTCCTTTAATTTGGTCAGTTCTTGTTGCTATAAAGTTTGCTAATTTTTAGCAACTTCCATATTCTGATAGCCGTAGTATTCCCTTTTAAACCCATTATTAAATACTCGTAAATACCACTTGCCTTGTTTAGCTTTGTCCACATCACGACTGCCATCTTCTACTACCTTCCTTCTTCAACTAATATTCCTACTTCATAGGGATTTAGTTATTTAATGCAACTAAATCTCTAAGTCTTCCTTCTTAAATCAATGACCATCTTTGAATTGATTTAAATCTCCGAAAATATATTCAGCAACAACCTTATCAATAAGGTGGCTGAAATATATTTCCCTAGATTTTCTCCTCTTGTCTCTCTATTGGCAGACTCTCCTTTGAATAATATTGCACACTTGTTAACTCTTCACTGGTCCACATCACAGCTGAGGTGATTGCCAAGTTTTGGTGCCAACAGTTTGGTTGGACTAATGTAATAGATGGAATGGAATGAATTTGGGGCAACAGACAGAGAACCATTTCATTGTAGCTGCCACAGCCACAACCACAAACATTACTACCACCACTATCTTCATCCTTTTTCTTCTACCACCACCATAACACAACCATCACCATCACCAATTTTCTAATGAAGCAAGTCAAAAATTGCTTCATATATGGAAGAATTTGACGATTTATAGTGGAGAAATAGACCCTTTTGAAGCTCGCCGGACTGAAAGGGGTTATAGCTATAGCGATAACCATCGACCACCGAAAAATTTACACCACCGAATTCTACCCAAATTCTTTTCGATCTAGTGGTAAGAAATTGGGGCAAGAGATAGAGAGAGAAAGTAGAAAGAAGAAAGGACGGGGGCGAACAAAAAATGGGTAAGTCGCAATTTTGGCGACTAGCAAGAGGATCTGAACGGCAAGGATGGAGGACTGAAACGACGGCGGAAACGGCTGTAATAGTCATTATTTCGGTAACAAGCAGCAATGACAAGGACTCTCACCCATGAACCCAATTTGAAGCTTTGTTATAGTTCTCATCGGCAAACCCAATTCTAAGCTTAGTTCGGAGCTCTCACCGGCGTTTATGGAGTTCAAAGGGCAGTGAGTTGAAACAGCGGGATTCGGATCGGAGGTGTGCCAAGATGAACCCACAGTAGCTAGCAAAATTATGTTGGACGGTATTGTTGGTGGAGATGGAGGTTTTCGGTGCTGGTTGTAGTGGTGGTGTTGTTTGGAAGTGGGTTTGGTGGTGGTTATAGCAATGATGTTAGCAACGATTGAATTTTTTTGTCACAGTTTTTTTTAATCGGATTCTAAGTGGGAATGGAATGACCATTCTAATAGTCAAGAGAACGAAAGAATTTGGTAGAATAATGATAATGGTTTGGGATTCTTATTCTAACTTAAAAAACATGCACCAAACACAAGAATGGAATAAAAAACATTTCCGATTCCCTCTTATTTGATACCATTCCACCCTACCAAACCCTCTTATTTTGATACCATTCCACCCTACCAAACTTGCCCTAAGAAATTTTCCAGGAAAGAATAGAGTCACTGGTCGCTTAAATACCATTCTCCTTCGACGGAAAATTTCTAAACATTGTGAAATTGCAAGATTCAGTGATGTCAAGTGTTGCGACTTTATTAATGCTCCCAAGTACAGATATCGCAAACTAATATATATTTGGTGAGTCCTGGATTGAACTTTTACAGTAACAGTACCAAAATTGCCTTGGCATAAGGCTTAAACCTTCAGCACATTCAATCTTACATCTTTTCTTTGGCTTGTTAAAATACCACAGGGAAAGGGAAATAATAATTGTCGCGCCCGGGGTTTTCCACCCTCTAAGGATTATACTAAACACTTATGGGAAAGGGAGCCTTAATGCGACGAAGTGTCTATGGCCGACACTTATTATAGATAGGGCCGAAGAATGTTTAAAGTGTGTTAGGTCACCTAAGGAATGTCTAAGGACTTGTAAGGATATCTAATTATTTTGACGTAGAAGAGATTTAATAGGGCCCTATATATATTTGACTACTATTTAGCCTTCGTAAACCAGATTAATGAATTAAGGGGTTTGCTTATGCATGAGGAATGTGTTAGGCACTCCACACATCCGTGAGACAGAGTTGTCGCATTCAAGATTTAAAGTGTTTTATAAGATATAGGAAATTGCATCCACAGATGAGTGATTTAATATTGCCGCAGCATAGCAATAAGTGATACAATCTAGACCTTAGTTGGCATATGTACCTTAGAAGTGGTTTAAAAAAAAGGATGTTTCAAAGACAATGATTTTGCTTGGTTTGTAACTATGGAAACAGTTTTCTGTTCTAAAAAAATTGAAAACAAAAAACTGTATAAAAAACTCAGATTGATTCAGTTTTCTGAAAACTCAGTTATAAAAGAACTATTAAAGATTGTTCTTAGTTTTTTGTTTTCTGAGTTCTTGAGAACTGATTTCAAAGTTACAAACCAAGCAGGATGTTTGTCAAACATAAGAGTTTTAAAAAACTGATTTGAAAAAGAGAACTTACGAGTTCTTGAAAACTTTGATTTGAAAATATGACCTATGAGCCCTAAAGAATGTTTTGTAATAAGTGTTTTCAAAAAGAGTTTTTTTTTTTTTTTTGGTTCGAAAATTGTTTCCAAATAGAGTTTTGTGAGGGTATAAGAGTGACCTTGAACATAAAAGTTACTGTAAATTTAATTTGAAAAAGATGGAACTTAAAAGTTCTGGAAAACTTGTTTTGAAAGATGTTACTTTTGATTTTGAAAAGAACGTTGGCTTGAGAGTCTAGAATTGTTTTGTTTATGAGTTTAAGTGCTAGGTCCAACTAAGAAAAACTTAATTGAGGGGTTAAGAGTTGTGAATCTTTGATTTTCTCTTCAATCACCAATTTCCCTATCAAATCAGAACGTATCCCAACAGAACTAGTAGCGCAAACTGGCTCCCAAGTGGGGCAAAAAGAAAAGGCTAAAATTACTAGACATGAACCTCGATCTGCCAATATATGGATCCCAACAGAACTAGTAGCGCAAACTGGCTCCCAAGGAGGGCAAAAAGAAAAGGCTAAAATTACTAGACATGAACCTCGATCTGCCAATATATGGAGCCGACTATTCTGAGGCTTTTACTAAACAACCACTGCCAATATAATTAAATTAATCAAAACTGTCACATTGATTTGACAAAATATTTATCACAATCCCTAATCATTCTTATAATAACACAAGGCTCTGCAAGTGTTTATTTAAGCAGAAGGCTCCACAAGTGTTTAATGATAACAAATTATGGGTCCAATATGAGCACCAACATTCCCTTGGTGGGGCCCATAAAAGTAGCGTGTCCCGCCAGGGGCTGTGCCCATCACAACACTTGGACTCAACAGAAATATATAATTTTTCACTAGTTGTTATCAAAGTATAACTAATTCAGCATGCGGAGGTAGTTTTGCTTCCAGCTGCCTGGCACGCTCTCTAGCGGCTGCCTTCCCATTTGTTGTCTCCAGCTCTTGAAAATCCCAATCTTCCATAAAACCAAGACCCAAACCTCCCATAAAACTTGGATTGCGAGCATCAATAATCATCTTTTCAAGTGAAACAACACTCTCAAGTAGGCACATAGCAAGCTCAACATCAGCTTCGAGGCCAACCCAACGTGTAAATTCCACCACCTTGAGGCATTGATGGGCAGATTCTGTAACCTGTCTCACCTGGCTGTGCATTATCTCCCTTTCCCAATTAAACTGCCACGCAAACAACGTACTCAAATCAATGCTTGCTTACAAACCAGTAGATGATTGACAATATAAAACTTTTTAAGTCTAGCAGAATCTAAAAGCAGCTTCTAGTACCTTTGCCCATGAAGGTGCAGGACCTCTGAATGTAACCTGTCACAAGGAAAGAGGAAATCATCAAATAAAAGATAGCACAAGGATACAAACAACATGCTGCAACTAATGTGGCATTTGGGTGTAAATGAAAACTAATGGATATTCGTGTCAAGCCACCATAGTTCAAAAGAGATTTTCTTCTCACCTCAACTCACAGTCGTAAAAATGTGGGGAAAACTAAGAAATTCACAGAGTGACCTCATCTATATCTTATCATAGAGATTGTAGGCAGTTCCCATGATCAAAAAGGAAATTCTAGTTCCAACATCAATATAAAAGAATTGGATTGACTTGCAAACAATGACCTCTCTTTAACAGGTCGGCCTAAATAGGACTGCTCTTAATTTATTAGAGTCTAGAGCTCCTGTCTAGCAAGTGAAAATCTAATTAAAGTTAATCAATACAGTTAATTACTGGTTTATTGAGATTTAAAAGGTTTATGTAACTAGTAAAGTTAATCAAGATGGTTAGCTAGTTAATGGAATGTAATTGAGATAACGGTTATATGGAGAAGTTGCGTGGATATTGAAATATAATATAATAATTAATGAGTTTTTAATTATATGAGGCAAGTTAAGATAATGAATGAGATATTAATTATTTGAAGAGTCATGTGAAGGACTTGAGCTCTATTCTAGTGATTGGTTTGTTTCAATTAGCTAGTCAGTCAGTTTTATTGAGTGGCTTTTGATATGAGGATGACCGTGTAATAAATATGATTTTTTTTGTTTATGTTAATGTATATTATGGACATGTGCTATAGGATTTGTTAAAATATCTGTATTATTCTTTTAATTATTTTTATTAGCTGTTTTTAGCCTTTTATTAGGTGTTTGATGTACGATCCCTATCATCAGGGGATCACGTAGATAAGATTCCCAAAATCATACGATCACATAGATTTTGGCATATTTTCGGTTTTTCTTTGATTTGGTTTCCTTTCTGTGTACCCTATTCTTGTATATGAATATAGCTCTTGGCTCTCGGTTTGAGTACGGCAAAACCCAAAACAACTTTTTTTTTTTATGATTTTACTTGATTATATAGTTTAGAGTAAAGTGCAATAAACCCCCCTCAACTACATATAACCCCCTGCAACTATAAGATTTGTTAAGTTTTAGAACGGAGAAGGTTATTCCGGTTCACTATCATCGGAAATTGGTAAAGACATTTTTACCCTTACATAAATGGTTGCCATTTAATATAAAGGTATTGGTATAAAATGGGTTAAATAACATGGGACCAGTGTAACAAGAATAGCCACTAAAATTTTGACACCTATGCAACCTTTTTACAATAAACCAATGAGACTAAGAATTTGACAACACAGGGCAATTATCACCTCCACCATTCATCAATTTCTCGGCATCAAGGAAAAACAAAATCTCGGCATCAACAGACACTATGGCAATTGCACGCCATTCTAGAAAACTCCATACCCTAATCTATACATTCTCATCTTTCGGAAACACTATTGGGAAAAATAACTCCTTTCAACCCACTCAACGGTTGGATGTTGTTGAGAGTTAAATCCCTCATTCATCACACTCAGCAAAAGCATCATCACATCACATCGACATAAACATATATGAAGCTAGCAATCATACACATTCACGCACGAAACAATATTTTACATGGTTCACCCAACTCTAGGCTACATTCATAGAGAGAGAGATTTCACTATTATGAATTAAGGAAGAAAATATACAACCAGATGTCAAAACCTCGCTCACTCATTCATCACTTTTGAGGCTACATCTATACTGTAATGTCCCGGATTTTTTTCTAATTTTTGTATTATTTATTTTTGTGCCTCGTTCTGCGCATCACACGGTCCCAAGGGCCGTTTAAGTCATTTTCTTGAGCCAAGAGTTTTAGAAATGCATTTTTAGTTATTCGGAAGTCGGGGACAATTTCCGGGTTCGGGAACTTCTCCCGGTTTTGTTATTTTCATTGAGGGGCGTTCTTGACATTTCACACATATATACACATGCATACATCTCTACATTGAGAAGATATTTTGTGAGACATAGATGTACATAGCTTATTAGTGAGAGGACAGTAAGGTAACTTAGCCTAAAGTGGGAATCACCCAAATGATGACAAGAGGCACTATTGGGACCACTTAACAAAATGCAAGACAAGCCACCTATTGATCCTAAGATTAATTTTGATGATCACAAACCATTAATAGTGTTTTAAGGACTAATATTTGCCTTGAAAACATATAACAGGTTTGCTATTTGAAATCCAAAAATGGAGAAGAAAACAAGAAAAGGCAAAGCCAAGCAAGATACATTCCATGCATTCCAAGGATAAAAGAAGACAAGCTATTTAATCCCAAAGCCTTAAGATGAAACACAAAGATCAAAAGTGATCAAGACCGGCGTTTCAAATGGGGTAGATAGGTTTGGTGAGTGTCTTAGATTCAAATGTCAAATTAATTTATGAATTTCATGAAGCTCACATCCTAGGATCATTTATTCACAACTTCATGCTAAATTAAATAAAGATAACATCATGCATGATCCAAAACTTGATATTGAAAAGGTCGCACAGATCAAATGCTCAACCAACAAAGCTTTCATGAGTATCAGCCGACAGATGGCCTTGGCTCTACAAGTGTCAGCCGGCCGACAAACAAAACAGAGAGATGAAGATATCAAATGAGACGTTTCGGCCGACCGAACATGAAGGTTCGACCGACCGACAAGGTTTCACGCAAAAGGGTTCTCGGGTTAAAATGCATCGGCCGACCGAAGCTTGGTCATCAGTCGATCGACAAAAAGCCTCCACAAAAATAGAGAGTTGGGTTTTTAAACCCATCGTTTCGGTTGACCGAAGATTGAGGTTCAGCCGGCCGACGATGAACTTTCGGCCGACCGAAGGTATTCCATTAGCCGACCGATACAATCACAGATTCAAAACCAACGGCTACCTGCAGATGTTAACTTTGCACACATCACCTCCAACAACTATATTATGCTCCTCTCTCTATAAATATGGGCCGAACTTTGAGAAATATATACAGAACTATTGAGAGCATTCAAGAGAGTATTTAAGAGCATTCAAGTCCTTATTTGATCATTTACTTCATCATATCTTTCATTCTCTTATATCATCTAAGAGATTTGAGCTTCATTTGATTCATATATCTACTCTAGTGGTGAGCTTACACTTGTTCATCTATCTTGAGAGAGATTATATCTTGTATTTCAATTATATACATTGCTACAAACTTGTAAGGGTTGGTGTGACCTAAAAGAAACCTAGGAGAAGGGCGTTCTCCTAGCAAGGAAGAGAAGCAAGGGTTTGCTTTATGTGAAGGTTTGCTTTCCACCCTTAAGGAGAAGCTCTAGTGGATTGGGAAGTCTCAAGAGGGATCTTGAGCCGAGGAGTAGGAGTTTCCGAACCTCGCTAAAATCTCCGAATCATTGTTTGCAATCTCTCATCCTTATCTGTCTTACATTTATACTTTGAATTACTTGTCTATCATAATTAATTATTGCATAATTGTTAATTAGAATTTATAGTTCCAAATTTGAAAAATTGGCCATTGACTCTATTCAACCCCCCCCCCCCCCCCCCCCCGAGTCAATTAGTGTTTAACACCACCTCTTCCCCTCTCCCCCATTTCGGCTAACCCTTCTCCTCTCTCTATCATTCTTCTCTCTATATATATACACATTATATGCTTTCATGCTAAAAGCTTAATTTTGGAGAGGTTAGAGTGAGATTTTGAAGAAGATCAAGAAGGGAGTTTCATTCTACGTGACAAAGGCTTTTTTTTAAGACCACCATTGTTAGAGTTTAGAGCAAATTCGAAATTAGGGTTGCCAAGGTCTTGTTTAGCTAGCATCTTTGAGGTAGGGATTACTAAGCCTCACATCCTTTGATTTTTTGTGAGTATATTGTTGTTAGCATGCTAAAGTATATGTATATAATGATGTTCTATGCATGATGAGTATGTGGTATAACTTTCAAGAATGAATTTCATATCAAAGTTGGTCAAGAAGTGTAAATTTGTATGCCTATGTGATTGAATGTGCCTTTATATGCTTACATGGTTACATGATGAAATTTATAAGCCTTAACATGCCACGATTGTGATAATTGCTATATATGTCATCATGTAAATCATTATAGAGATTGTGGCTAAATTGAATATTACACATTGGGATATGACATAAACATTATGGCATTGAGAGGGAGTATGGATGGGGATGAAAATTAGAAACTTGTTTTCTAAATATTTTAAAAGAAAAGTTTGCGAAAACCCGAAGACAAGGAGTTATCTTGTGTCCGTGGAGTTAAGACAATCTAGAGGGAACATGGGGTAAATACCTCATGCTGGTTGAGTCGCCTAGGCCCCAAATGACGCTAGGGGGGGCCTTAGGTCAGGGATAGACGTCCAATCCTTCTCTCGTGGTAGCAGGGAGTCGCCTCGTACTGGGCTGGATTAACGAGTTCGGTGTGTGTATGATTTGAATTTGAGAATACAAGGGCTTTGGGACGGACATATGCATTGCACTGCGTGGATATATGTTATGATGAGTATTGCTATGATGATGAGGACTTGAATCATTTCATTGTGTCCCTGTTAAACTTGCATGATCCCAATTCCTTTTTTTTTTCTCCATTCTTCATTAGGTGTGACCCACGGGATTGGAAGGGGTGCGTCTTAGATTTCACCTACTGAGCCATAGTGCTCACCATATTATTACCATTTTTCAGGTCACGGCAAGAAAGTGGTTGATAAAGGACCCTCACAAATGTAGATAGGGTTGGTGAATGTATTTTTTTTTTTAGAACTTTTGAAACCAATGCTTAGTTCCAACTATTCTTTTGTAAAGCATTGTATTTGACGTGTTAATGGCCTAAACCTGTAATCTTATTCTTTGGGGCATGTAATTACTATCTTAAATTGTTCTTTTGTATCAAATGAATGAAATGGAATGGTTGGGAATGAAATGGAATATCTAGGGGCATTTATGTCTTTTTGTTTTGTTATATGCTTGTAAATCATTTTGGTTATGCATCTATGTCTTATGCGTGCTTTGGGATGGACTTTGAGATGTAGGGATGTATCATTTATCAAAATGGAGGTATAGGAACCAAACCGCAACATTTTCGGGAAGAAAAGAAAATTTCTGGGGATTTACGATCGATCACACATGCATTTAACAGAGGGCCAATTTTGAGGATTGTTGAAAACTTTTCTAAGTATGGGATCTACGATTATCGTAAATATACAGAGAGCCAAATTCAGGGTTGTCAGAAAAATTTTCTAAGTACAGAATTTACGATCAATCACACACATTTACGATCGGTCGACAGAATGCACAAATACCCTAGTTGATGACCAAACTTTGATTGACCATTTCTTCTTCGTTTCTAACCCGAATTAGGTCATTCTTGAGTCCAAATTGAAGGATTTTGAACCGTCTTTCCATTAGTACCAGTCTTATTTCGTATTTATGACTCATAATGACCGTTTAACCCTTGTAAACCCTAGGGGTCCAGTGTGAATCCGAAGTTGGGATTTCCACATTTTCATGAACCAAAGTGGTTAGAAACAACTAGTGTGACTTCATTATGACTCCTAACACTTAGTAAGGTGCAGAATGACCATTTTGTCCTCGAGAGTGCTCGGATCGGGTTAGAACCCAGATAGCGATTCGGACCCACGGGTTCAGGTCATTATATATACACTCATGAATTATATATATTTTTTCCTTTCCTCACAACACTCACCAACCCCTCACATTTTCTCTCATCTCTCTATCTTCCTTCTGCGCATCGCTCCTCTATTTATAGAGGAACCTGGCTGCCTTTTGTCAACAAATGCGGTGCCTAATCTCCTTCAGATGTTCTTCTCCTTGCAGCAAACATGGACCAACCTTTTTCATGCCTTTACTTCCTTTTGTCTTTTGCTATTTGCTTTTTTATCATGTCATCACATTCCACCTGTGATTTTCTTTATCTCCTTTTACTTTTCGTTTTCTCCATTCGTTGGCCATTAGAACACCACATATATACGCCACTTCTTTCTTCATTTCTTTATTCTATTTAATTCTTTACTTTCACCTTTCCTTTACACTATGTCGGCTTCTTTGACTATGTAAGAGTGAACCCATGTGATACACACTTGCATATACATCATGCAACCAACTATATTTAGCCACGTCATCAATGAAGTTTAGCCACTTTCTAACAAACACAACCTTCGATGCCTCTTCTTTCTTCATCTTCTTAAAAGCCCCTCTCTTATCATCTTCTTGACCATCCACACCACCTGGATCAAAGATGTGATACCTTCAAACATATATTTTTCCCTTTCAAACGAATTAATGTGCGTCAATTTCGATTCGAATTTGGGTTCTGATTTGGATTCCAATTTGGTCCACTGCAATTGTTGCTGAATCCAACGCCGTCATCTACAAACTACTTAGCTCAAGCCCTAATTCAGAATCACAAACCGACCGCAACTCCTACAAAACTTTCAATTACCGATACCATAATCTCCAACACTAAACTAGTACTCCCATCTGAACCTAATTAGGCTTCGCACCATTCACCAGAGTCATCGTGTCCAACCGCCAACCACAATTAGTTCCCAATCAAACACCTTAAATTTCCAACCCATCTCACCACTGACACAACAAACCACCAACCACATTGTAGCATCAGCACCTTCGCCGAAATAGCATCATCATTCCGGATCATGGCCAAGCGTCGCGTCCTCGTCTCCTGGATCTTCCATCATCCTTGCCGGAATTGCACAAGCACACCAGCATATAAACGGAGGTAGAGAAAGGTTCAATTCATATATATAGGTAGAGGTAGAGAGAGAAAGAGGAGATAGGAGTTGAGTTTATGAATATATAAACAGAGATGGAGAGGGACGCTAAATTTATCTCAAGTGTGGCTATCCTGATTTATGGTTCCTTCAATACCGTTTGAACCTGGAAACACCACAAACATTTTTTGTTCGTGTATATATAAAGATATTCCGGAAAAAAAAAAAAAAAAAAAATACGGAGGTGGAGAGAGACGGAGAGGGCCGATAGAGGGGTTCACTCATGGTGACAATGATATTGTAATTGGTTTATATATATATATAGAGACAAAAGGGCGTTGTAGTCTTTTAATTCTCATAAGGGCTTTCTGGTCATTTAATGTGAAATAATCCATCAAGTGACATGCAAGGGTTTAAAATTCAATCTCCGATCACCGGATTGGGTAAACTGTAACCAAACAGCATAATAGTTTTGGGGTTTTCTGCTACTTTAAAAATTCAGGGGATTTTCTGCTACTTTAGAAATTCAGGGGGTTTTTGCGCTCATTTGGGTATAGTTGAGGGGGGTTTATTACACTTTACCCTATAGTTTATTGGGTTTGATTTTTAGATTGTTGTCGAGGTTGGATTAAAGTCATGCAATAAATTCAAGAATGGGACAAGAAACTCATGTGCTTAAATTTAAATTTATGACAATATTTAAGAGCAAACCATATATATATGCCACGATCCATCAAAAATTGGTCAACAAACCTCGTGATGATAAATAAACAATTTCAGCAAAACCTGAACAACTATGAAAGGTAAAATATATGAACAATGCAACCAAATTTTTTCCTCATAAAAGAATTTGTATGTGATAATATAATAAACTTGCACCACTGAATCTCCTATAAATTAATGAAAGCTAGAGTGGATGCATATGACAATTTAGTTTCACCAAAGTGCCATTTTCATAACTCATCAAAATAAACAAGGATGTAAGCTGTTTAAGATGCGGAAACTCACCTCCAACAAAAATCTATACAAGCAAGGAGACCCATTTATCAAAGAATTGAGTAAAAGGATGCACTGGTCATTGAAAACCCAAACTTTTATTTCCAATTCCTTGAGATTACTAAATTTAGGAAAAAATCCCCCTTCGCACATGTATATCTCTGTATTCTAAACAGTAAGAACAAAAATTCAGTGATTAGCAACCACTAATAACAAAAATTAAAAGAGAATAAACAAACACAGAAAAAAGTGAAGCATACTAACTTGACAATCCAGCTCCAGTATAAGCTTTTCTAATTGAGAGAGATAGAATGTAGGTTTTTTATATTCAGAAACTAAAATATCACAATAATGTCCCCGGATAGATACCTCAGCAAGCAAGGGAACTTTCTGAAAAGACATGCTTATCTTTGGCCCAAAGTATTTAAATGACACGAGATTTATTGCTGAAATCTCAATATCTTTTAAATTTGTACAGGAGGCAATTTCCAAGTGCTTCAACTTGAGTGAAGTACCAGCAACTTTTAAATTAACTAAAGATAATGAGAGTCGCAAGGATAAATGCTCAAGCAATGGGCAACTCGATAAGAAGTATGCAACACCTTCACCAGTTATATTGACACAAGTTAAGCAGAGGGAAGTTAGGGTATCAAAGCTCGAAAAACCAAGAGGCAAGTTCAACAACCAAAACGGAAAAGCATAAGTATAACCTAACTGAGAATACAAGTACTGTCTTGACAAGTCCAACTCAAGCATTCGAACTCTCTTCTCTATTGCAAAGTTTATCCATCTATCAAAAAAACGTCCATCATGGCTATCCTCCAAATCAAAACAAATTTTGAGTTCATCTATAGTTTGCCCACGATGTGAATTTAGTACTTGGTTCACCCAATTTATGTACCTAGGCCTTCCAATAATACTTGATACTTTTCTTTGTTTCAAGCCCACTGATTTATTTGGAATAACGAAGTCCAGACTACCAGTAAAAAATTTCCAAAGATTTTCCCACCTGTGCGAAAGGACACTTGTTCTTGCTGCTTCTTTCATTGTCAAGAGGGACAATATATTCTCAAGTATTTCATCTGACAATTCACTAATCCGGTCCTCCATATAATATTCCCATTTATCAAGCTAATCATAGTAAACAAAGAGCAAATTACCATGATGATAATCATAAAGAACCCATGTTATAAAAATATATAAATATAAATCAAAACAAATATCTTAACATCATTTTTGGTATGTACTTTGTTCAAACATATTGAAGATTGACAATAGATAACAATTATAAACATGCAAATTCAAAAAAATAAATATATAAATAGAATGAAACATTGAAGGCATGTCAATCACAAAATTTCACGATGGGGTGCTTCCAGTTAGGTATCTTGGGGTTCCATTGCTGTTTACAAAGCCCAAGTCTGAAGTTTGTTTTTAGCTAGTGTAAAAAATTACGTCGAGAGATAAGTTTTGGTGCATCAGGTATCTCTCATTTGCTGGCAGATTGCAACTACTTAATGCTGTCCTATTTTCTAGAGATAAGTTGTTGAACCTTAGAAGCTATTTTAGAATGGACTTTATGTACAAAATTGGGAATAGGGAGCATATTTCTTTATGGTATGATTATTGGCTTCCTACCGGCCCTGTTGTCTTGAATTTGGGGGAGAATTGGCCAGTGACTTCAAATAGTGGTTTTGACACTTTGGCTAGTAATTTGCCAAGGTTATCCAACACTAATTCTTTTGATCAGGTTGTTTGGATTCCCACTAATGGTGCTTTTTCCATCAAGTCAGCCTGGGATAGGATCAGACCTAAGAATAATAAGGTTGTTTGGTTTAATCTTATTTGGTTTGGTAAAGCAATTCTAAAGCATTCCTTTATGGTGTCGTTCGCCATTCAAGACAGGTTGCTAACCAAACCAAGGATGGGATTAATTTCTGATGCTATTTGTGTTTTTGCAGAGAGTATATTGAAGACACAAATCACCTTTTTTCCGCTGCAACTTTACTTAAGACAATGGCATTCTGTTTCTTGGGCCTAATGATTAAAAACAAAAGCTTCATAATTGAAAACAAGTGTATATGAATTCTAATATATCCAACTTCTTTTTGGAATTTGTTAGGAAATTTCTAGTTCGACAACTCTTGGGCTCCAAGGAATTGGGTGTAGAACAAGAAATGTGACCTCACGAGAGAGTAGTTGGGCTGTGAGGGTCTCAAATCCTCTACTTCACACAGAATGTGGAGATGCGGTTAATGGTTGGTAGAGCTGAAAAACACCAATGGCGTGCGGGAGGTTGTGGCACATGGGAAAGGCTCAGGTATCAACCTCCATACCCTAGAGAGGGGGTCGTGTACACGGTCTGGTGTTGGGTATTGATATCTACAATGGTAATTTCTCTACATAATGTAGTTAAATCCTGTGTTACCTGGACTCGCCTTCGTCGGACAAAATGTCCGTGTCAAGTTGTCAACACGACACGACGCGGACAGGGGATATGAGTCGGACTCGTCACTTTTCAACCGGGCATGGCTGATGATTAAAACACCCAAAAGGATGTACGGGTTGATGCTTGTGAAGGATGAGAAGTTTTTCCATGTTTTATTTGTAAAATCAACTGCTATTCAGGCTGATAGAAAGCTCTCTACGTCAAAAATGGAGGTCAGGTTAGAAACCAGCAGCGTCGTCCTTGAAAAGAAAGGTTGAAGACAACTGTGTGACACCACGCGCTATATTTGCGCAATTTTTTATATCTGGTGGAGCATGATTGCACGCAATTGATTAATAAGGGCCCAGATGATGCCACCTCGCTGTGATGTGAATGAATGCAGACTTTAGGACTTTTAAAAACTTTAATGCTTACAGCTGTATACCATTGTTTACAGCTGTACCTTTATCTTTTCCTTACGTAAGTATATATCTTACCATACAGACTCTTTGACCAAGACAAAAATATTCTTTCGCTACCGATGGCTTGTTCAGCCTTGGGTCGCTTTATGTTTTAAGGAGTCTCTTTCCTGCCGTATGGCTTTGGGCCTGTTTGGCTAGCAATAGCCCACCTTGTACATTTCTCCTTGTATATATATATATATATTTACTTGCTTGAAATTCCAAATATATATACATATATATATATGTATATATATAACTTTTAATATCAAAACTATAGGAGATATATTTAATTTATTAGAAAACAGATGTATATCATACATGAAAACACTTGAATTTTTTTTTTTCTTAAAAGTGTCCAAGTACCTGTATCTAAATATTGGACACTTTATATCCGAGTCCTCGTGTCCTTTAAATCGTTAAATTGACGAATCCAACCGCTAGACATGTACCCGTGTCCGACACCCGTACCCGAGTCAAGGTAACATAAGTTAAATCTTTTATCATCCATGGATGTAAGCCAGATTTTGTTGAACCACGTTAAATATTGTAGTTATGCGTGATTTCTTATTGTTTGTGATTGGATCGGCGTGTTCCATCGTCGTAATAGTATTTACTTTGTTCAAACATATTGATGATCAACAATATAATGCATGAATGTAGAACCGAAATGCAAATACAATAAATAAATAAATACTATGAAAGCCTTGCTTGAATGGTATGGCCTCCCAAAGGGAAGGTAGAAAGTTCAATTTCTCCTAGTGAGGATGTGTGTGAGTAATTCAGTCCAGCAAAACATAAATAAATAAAAATGACAAATTGAGACAAAGCACTATATTCACAAAAACACACACACCAAAGGGAAAATTTAAAAAAACCGTAATGATAATAATATAAATGTAGCACAGAAAATTTATAATAATAATAAAAAAGAAATGGCCCAAATTTATATTGTCTAGGGAAGAATTTACCTTCAACCTTTTCTCCATCAGATTTGAAGATACAATCGTTGATTCATATAAAGCTGCAGAAATAGAAAAATCAAGTGAATTGTACATTCAAGTGACAAGAAGATATGTAGCAAAAAACAGAGCAAAATAACTATCGGTCTCTTGTATTCCAAAGGGAAAGAGAGGCCTTTTATCGTATGATGAGTTATGAGTTAAATAAGTATATAATCACAAAAAATCTTCAACGCCTTCTTTTTTCCACACCCAATTATGCCTGAAACACGTATCTTAATAAGTTTAAAATAACATGGAGCCTTACACATCCGCACAACAGTGTGTGCATTCATATATAGAGGGTAAAGTGCAACCCTGCTACACAAAACTTGTGCACGGAACACCCCTCCTATTTAGTACGTGCATATAACCCACTTTGATTTGAGGAATGGTAAAATAAAAATAAAAATAAAAAGAAAAAGGATTTGAGGAATGTGTGCACATTGACCCCTTCCGTTATATGTCCATTATAAACTCCCTCTTAGGTGTCATCTCTGACACAGTTTATATGAAAACACAAAACTAACCTTTTTGAGAGACCAAAATGCCCCTAAAAGCCTTTTATATATATATAGACACACTTTTTTTTTTTATAAGTAAAAACATATTAGAAAAACATTCAAAAGGGGAACGTGTCCCTAATACACAAAAACGAAAACGAAAAGGCAAAAGCCAAATCTACGAACCAATAGAGTCCAATAGAACAAAAAAATCATCAATCAAAGAGTAAGCGCTGCCTCTAACATAACAGAAAAGAGAGCGAAAAATAAGAGACTTTAGGTTTGCAAAAGACGATTCCTTCCCTTCAAAGTTTCTATTATTTCTCTCTCTCCAAATACACCACCAAACACAGTGTGGGGCAACCCTCCAAAAATCACGAGCATGACCAGAAACAGGACAACTTCTCCAAGCGTTAATAAATTGGAAAGAGTGCTTAGGCATTACCCACTAAACGCCAAAAATACTGAATATGAGATTCCAACAATCAAATGCAACATGACAATGCATAAGAAGATGGTCCACGGACTCACCATCAGCTTTACAGAGACAACACCAGTTAATAATGGTATTACCTCTCTTACGCAAATTATCCAATGTTAGAATTTTTCCCTAGGTAGCAGTCCAAACAAAGAAGGCAACTCTAATAAGAGCTTTAGAGCGCCAAATACACTTCCATGGGAAATTATGCCCAATAAAATTAGACAAACACAAGAACATGGATCGAACTTCGTATCTACCATGAAGAGAGGGGGTCCACAAAATATCATCACAACCTCTACCAACATCCTTCTGTCTACAGGTCCAAAAAGACGTAAACTTCTGCTATCTCCCAATCTTGAAAAGAACGCCTAAAACGCACATCCCACGTAACTCCACTGTTATCAAGATGATAACAGTCAATTACATAAGCATGTTTATTCTCGGCAATACTAAAGAGACGAGGAAAGGAAAGGGACAACAACTGATCACCACACCATAAGTCTTCCCAAAATCTAACATTCATACCATTACGAACCTTAAACCAAATATGGGTGGAAAACACATCCCAACCTTTCCGAATGAACTTCCAAACGCCAACGCCCCTAGTAATAGAAACAGGACGAGAGGACCAACCTCCACTCTCCTCCCCAAAACAACACGAGATAACTCTTCTCTATTGTCGATGACACTCTTTACCGAACCTCCATAACCACTTCCCTAATAAGGCTTTATTAAAAGGGACCAACTTCCAGATACCTAACCTGCCAAACTTCAACGGTTTGCAAACCTGCTCCCAATTAACAAGATGATACTTAAACTCCTCTCCTTTTCCACCCCAAAGAAAATCTCTCTGAATTTTTTCAATTCGTTCAGCAACAGAGCATGGGATTTGAAACAGAGATAAGAAATATGTGGGAAGGGACGAGAGGGTGCTCTTAATAAGAGTAACCTTCCCACCTTTCAAAAGATACTGTTTTTTCCATCCCGCTAATCTTTTTTCATACCTGTTAATCACCGGATCCCAAGTCCCCACTCTAATGGAGGAGATCCCAAAGGTAATCCCATATAAAGGAGTGGAAAAACACCTACTCCACACCCAAGAACAGCAGCTAAAGAGGAAATATCGGAAACCTCCCCCACTGGGACAAGCACACTCTTTCCAACATTAATCTTAAGACCAGACACTGCTTGGAAGCATGTAAGAATGCACCTCAAATACCTGAGTTGGGAAACATCAGCATCACAGAAAACCAAGGTGTCGTCTGCAAACAACAAATGGGATATCTCAATCTGGTTAACAACATTTCTGCCAACAGCATTAATCTACTCAAACCCTCCATGACAATAAGGAAAAGAAAGGACGACAAAGGATCTCCTTGTCTCAAACCACGCGAGCTCGGAAAAAAACCAGCAGGAGAGCCGTTCACAAGCACAGAGAACATAACTGATGAAATGCAAGATTCAATCCATTTTATCCATTGATCCCCATTCCCCATTCTCCGAAGTAAATAAAGAAGAAATTTCCAATTCGCGTGATCATAAGCTTTCTCGATGTCAAGTTTGCATAAAACACCAGGAACTTCCTGGAATAGACACATTCTCCTGCGATAAGAACGGAGTCAAAATCTGTTTACCATCAACCAAAGCGTTTTGTGACTCTAAGATAATTCCATCCAAAACATTTCGCATTCTAAGAACGAGGACCTTGGCAATAAGCTTATATACATGCACCCCACAAGACTGATTGGCCGGAAGTCCTTAATGTCAGAGGCATTACCCTTCTTAGGAATAAGAGCAATGAAAGATGCATTTAATGATTTCTCAAATGTGCCATGAGAATGAAATTCCTGAAAAGTGCCCATAACCTCATCACGCACCACCTCCCAGCTCTCTTTCAGAAACCGCATAGTGAATCCGTCTGGCCTGGAGGTTTATCACCGTTACAACTGGATAACGCCTTGAGAACTTCCTCTTCAGAGAACGGATTCTCAAGCATATCACTATCCAGCGTAGAAATAGCATCGAAATGCAAACCATCAAGTTTTGGTCTCCACTCCAAAGTCTCAGTATAGAGCTGCTAATAAAAAGAAACAATACCCCCATGCACCTCATCTTCTTTTCGTAACTCTAAACCATTCACACGAATACGTCCAATGTTATTGTATCTTCTATGAGCGTTAGCAAGCCTGTGAAAGAATTTAGTATTGCGGTCACCTTCTTTAAGCTACAAAGCCCGAGATTTTTGACACCACAAAATCTCCTCCATAGTAGCAATCTCAGCAAAAGTCGCCTGACAAGACACTCTTCGAGAGCGAAGAGATTCCGTGACTTGCCCTGTCTCATCAAGACGATCAATCTCAGCAATTTCAGCCAGGACTCTATTTTTCTTCCATTCAAGATTCCCAAACACTTCTTTATTCCACTTCTTAAGCTCAAATTTAAGAATCTGAAACTTCTTAGCAAGTACATAGCTAGTAGAGCCAGTAAACACTGCTTCCTCCCACCAGGACTGGACCTTCCCTTGGAAGTCCTCAGCTCTCAACCACATATTTTTGAAACAAAATGGAGTCCGTCTAGATCTCATACCTCCACAATCAAGAACTTATCCAAAAAAAAATTTTTGTTTATTCTTTTGAACAAAAGTTTCATATCTCGTACGCTTGGGCTTTCTTATTTGTTTATTAAGTTGCCAAAAATATCCTTTTTGGCTTAAGAAATAGAATAATCATAGTTTTAAAAAAAATCAGTGAGGCGCGCCTAGCAATTAGGACGAGGTGTAACCAAGGCGCGCGCCTAGTTAACATCAGTGAGCTTGGGATGATAACAGGCGCTAGACCTGCACCTTGAGCCTAGGCGCGCCTAGGTGGCGACTTTAACAACACTGCTCCAACCACAATCCCATTATACATACATACATGCGCATGTATATGATGCCGATGGTTATACTATTTTCTTTTGATTCCTCTAAAATGGATATAGATTCAAATCTATACATAAAATATATAAATATATATCTACATACATATATCCTCGCGTGGATGGGAACAGGGGCGGAGCCAGGATTCAATGTGGGTGGGGCCGTAGTATTAACAGTTTCAGCAATATAATATAATAATATTTTAAGTCAAAAGTACTTCATGATTGATTAGATGCATACAAAAAATATATCTAACCAAAATTTGGCCAATTTGTTTACAAAACAATAATTGGCCTATATCTAGTCAAATATGACATAAATATACACAAAAAGAAACTTGAAAGACCAAACAATTAATTTAAAATATAAAAAAAATTATCACCCACAATTGTGCGCCTGTGCAGTGTCTAAAAAATAAATTGTGCGCCTATGCAGAGTATACAAAATAAATTGTGCACATGTGAAGTGTCTAAAAAATAAATTGTGTGCATGTGAAGTGTCTAAACAATAAATAGTGCCCCTGTGAAGTGTCTAAACAATAAATTGTGTGCTTGTGCAGTGTCTAAACACTTTATATCTTGAAAATGTGTGCATGTGCAGTGTGCATAAGACAACGACAACGTAATTAGATCGAGTTGGTGTACCGTGACAGTCAAGTCGGTGAGCTTAGAATTTGTTTTCCAAGTTTCGACATCGACAACACTTCTTTAAGTATTTGAGTCTTGCTTTAACATCTTTAGGATGATCACCTGAATAAAAAGAGAGAAAAAGAAAAATGTTATAAAAAATATAGAAAATATGAGAATTTTCACAACCTGAGAATTTTACAGAAAATATAGAAAAATATGTTCACAACCTGAGAATTTTGACACAGATCAGATAAAATCACTAAAAGGTGAATATAAAAAATATGAAAAGCATAACAAAATCAGAGTAACTGTTGCATATCATTTGGATTCATACTGAAGTACAGAATGTTATAGCCTTACAGGTGTTGCATCACTAAATCATTTAACTGAAATTGAAATATGGATTTACCTAATCTATTATTCTATAATCCAACTTTTTAAATCCTAAATCTTACAACAGCTTATATCATAGACCACAGTCAGACACGAATCGAACCATAATTTTTCAAAGAGAATGATTTTGATATGAACTATTGCGAGCTTATAATGTGAAGATGCCAGCATAAAAAAGTAATTCTAATGTAAAAATGATAATAGCAATACTTCTGCGGAATCCCAAACAGGTGTTCATTGCTTAATTAGAATCAACAGAGCTAGAATTATATTAAGATATAGTAAAAATGATAATAGCAATACTTCTGCGGAATTGCAGAAATTTGTAAAAGCCAAAATAAAGCAAACAAAAGAACATAACAACAGCAGATATCAATCAACTAAACCCTAATTCTGACTCTGAACCCCAAACAGATAATTGTGACAAATATTAAGCAAGAAATTACTGATACTCAAAATGGAATAATTCAACAACCCATTTGAGATTTTACACAAATTCACAAAATCATAACAAGAACAGAAAATTTTCACGACAAAAAATCCATGGCAAATGGTACAAAGACATTAACACCCATTTAGCAGCTTCCAATTTCCCCAGGAAAAATAAAAATAATAAAAATAAAAATCTGATTGAGATGGGTAATCTACAATTGAAATGATACCCTTGAAGGTCGCCTAAAATTCCATGAGGAAGGCTTTGCTTTGGCGGTTCCGAGTGCGAAGTGAATGCAAGAGCTGGAAGATTTGTGTACGTTTTGTGTGGCTGTGTGCTGCGTGTGCCCTGATTTTTCTGAGAGAGAAGAAAAGCTTACCGAGTATTGTAGTGAGGCAACCAATGGCAAGAGGCAAGACGACGAGATTCCACTGAGAATCTTAGTATAAGAAGACAAGGGAGAGAGGGTTCGAGCATGGGCATAATTCGTGTGAGAAAGAGGAAAGGGAAAGTCCTATTTTGTCTTTCTACATCGTACGACATATACTCAAAACACATGCGGTGTCATAGGATGTGTGTTGTGTACTACTGCCAAGCGCAACTTCAATGCTTTCTCATTTGAATTTCTCAAATTGAAAATACAAGAGTCGGATAAAAAATGAACCTCTCTAATGGACTTTTATTTGAGCTTTCAAAATTTGAGATTCTCAAATTTTTTTTGTCAAATTTTTTTGACAAGTCTCTCTTATTTTTCAAAACGGTGTCGTTTCTCACCAGTCATCACCTCTATACGTGTGTGTATATATATATAATATACATATATATATATATATATAATATATATAAATTTTTGAAAAAAAAATTATATAAAAAAATTAATTCACTAATAGTGGTAAAAAAATTATAAAAAATTTGTTTTTTTTTTTTTGTCCTTTTTTTACCAGATATTTTAGATTTGTACTTCTTTTTAATTAGGTTTAATTTTAGTTTCCTTCTAATGTCTACAATTTGACTTGGAATGTGCCTAATATTAATATGACTAATGCAAATATGAATGGTGGGAATGATAGTTGAAAAAAAATAGTGGTTGTGTTAAAAAATAACATTTTGCGTGAAATGTACCATTGGAGCAGAATTGCTAAAATGTAACATTTTGGCACTGTAGCACCTGTCAAAATATAGATTTGGCATGCGAAAATAGGTTTTAGCATTGGAGATACTCTAATAGGATAAAGTTCACCAAAGAAAAAAAAAATCACAAAAATCACATTTTTTTACGAAATTGGCCAATGCCTATAATATCTTTCATTAAATGACAATAATATCATCTCTTATTCAATTACACTTAAAAAAAAAAATTATAAAAAAAAAAATTCATACTAATTTTTAAAATTAATTGCTAAAAAAAAAATCTTAAGTAGAAATTTTTTTAAAAAAATTTAATTAATTTCTTAATTTTTCATGAATATATTTAATGAAAAAGAAGATATTTTTTTATTTAAGTAGTTTATTAATTTTTCATCAATATATTGTATGAAAAAAAAGGTATTTTTTCTAATAAGGTTTATTATAAATAACAAAATTTAAATAATAAATTAATCATTCTAGAAAATGGTAGTTACAAATTTTTTTTTTTTTCATTTTTATGATAAATTGATATTAATAATAAAATTAAGGTAAATAGTATGATTAATATTTAGATAAAGAGAAAAAATAATAAGAAATAATTTAATAAATAAAAAATTTTAATGAGAAAGGGTAAAATAATCTTTTGCGATTAGCACTCGTTTCAAACAAAACACGACCACATCTATTGTGTATAGGAAACATACTCTCAATAGCCTAAGGTGTCTGAACCTTCTGTGGCATGTGACTATACACCCTGCCATAATGCAACTGTTGTGGTGTATGTGCCTGTGGTGGCGGTGGCGCAGATAAAGCCGGGAATGCCTGTCCTTGAATGCGCGACATCTGTAGAGTAGGTAAAGGAAATGGTGGTCGATGCCTTTGTTGCATGTGCTGTCCCTGCATAGTCTTGGGACAACTCCTAGCTGTGTGCCCAAGTTCTCCATAACTATAGCAATTGCTTTTGAAAACGCCAGATTGCTTCTTTTGCTGGTTACCCTGAGGCTGAACCTATACTGTTTGGGGTGCCCCATTCTGCTGTCTCTGAGTAGAAGTCACATCTTTCTGAGCATTTGAATTGTCCTTGTACTTCTTCCAAGATTGTTGTCTCTGAAATCTACCCCTGTCATTATGTCTATGACTGTTACCATTGTCTTTCTCAGTAGTCTGATTAACAGAGTCTTTGTCACCCCTCTTCTCACCCTTGAGCTGCTTATACTCCCTCCTCATCTGGCAATGTTGTAGTGATGTGTCAACTACCTGAGAGTAAGTAGTATAGGATGGACTACCAATGATAACTTGCTTAATGGGCTAAATCAACCTATTAAAAAAGCAAGTGCGTTTCTTTTCTTCGGTATTCACCTTATTTGGAACAAAAAGAGATAAGCTAGTAAGTTGTTGCTCATACTC